CAAAAGGAGCTGATTTAAACCCAAAGCTCTAATTAGAATCAGAATTGCCACCAGGTTCTGGAGGCCTCTGAGTTGCTTCAGCATCTCCTCACGGCACTGGAGTTCTGAAAGGCCGTGTTTTCCTTCAGGATGAGCCGAGTCCTGCCTTGGCCTAACCTTGCAGCTCCCCGTGGGACTGTGGCCGTGTTGCAGGTGTAGTTGCCGTGGCTGTTGTTGTCCCCGCACACTTGGCACAGGGAGTTCCCTCTGGAAACTGAGCCGTGAGGGAGAAAACCATGGAGAGATGTGGAGCTCTGACCCTCCCCGGTCCCTGATTCCCGGATTTCCCCCTGTGATCGGGAACAGGCTGGGGTGGGAGTTGGGAATGAGAAGGTAAACCTGCAGCAGTCCTGGCCACAGGATGTGTTGTGCTCCATGAATTCACTCCGTGAATCCCGCTGATCCCAGGGAGCAGGGCACAGCTGGCTTTGCTCTTCTCCCCCTCCCTGGCTGCCCTCTGCTCCTGCTTCCCTTGTCCTGCCTGGGATCCTCCATCCCTCAGGGAGTCAGTTCAGCTCACCAGGGTGGAACAGAAGGATTCCCTTTATATATCCATACGTATATATTTACTTTGCTGGGTTGGCTGCTGTTGTGGTGTCAGCTTTCCAGCATTACATTGCTGATCCAAGTGACCCCTGGCACACGCAGGAGGGAGAGGGAGGGAGAGCCTGGAGGTGGAGAAGTTGGTGGCACCAATGGGAAGCTGCTCCAGCCAAGGGCAGCACGAGCCACTTGTGAAACCGCAGCGGCTGAACCTTGTGCAGTCCCGAGCCTGAACGGGCTCCAGCCCCTGGCACAGATTCCCTGAGGAGCTCCCCCCGTGTGTGCCCAGCTCTGGGGGTGCTGGGAATGTGCAGGGGGCTCCGAAGGAGTGACTCGGCCCTTGCATTAATTCAGAGAGCAGGAGGTCTGGGAGCAGCCCATGGGGTTTGGGACCACACGACCCGGCTGTGGGCGAGCTTGGGACCCAAGGAAAGCATGGCAGGATCCTGGGAGGGAGTGGAAGTTGGGAGGAAGAAGTTCTGGTTCTTCTCCAGTCCCTCCTTTGATTTCTTTTAGCCCATGAGAGGTCTGTGAAAAAACCCCACATAAACAGCTCTGGCTTCTTGGGAGTAGAAACACAGCACAGGATGGGGTGGGAATTGCTCAGCCTTCCCAGATTGGGGCTTTTCCTGTCCCCTGTGAGAATTCATTTATTTTCTTTCCCTGCCTGACTCCAAGGGGAGGAGTGAACCTCATCCTTTAGTCCCAAGCCAGGTGATAAGAGCTCCTCTCCAGGGGCTGGGGGTCATGGGTTTGAACCTTCACGGTGACACTGGGCTTGGGTCCTGTGTTCAGGTCACTGCTCTCACTGCTGGGCCATTTTTCACCCTGTGCTCTAAGAAGGGTGGAATTCATAGAATCCCAGATGGGTTTGGGCTGGAAGGGACCTCAAAGCTCATCCCGTTCCATGGGCAGGGACACCTTCCACTAGACCAGTTACCCAGAGCCCTTCCAGCCTGGCCTTGAATTAAGACACTGGGCAAGAACCGTGTCCTTGGTCTGAAGAAGCTTGAATGCTGCATCAGGTTTCCTGATTCCCAGTGTTGGGAAGTGAGGATATCAAGGAGCACAGAGAAAACCAACAGCACTGGAGCTTAATTAAAAAAAATAAATCACTGTCTGAAGCAGCGAGGTGCCACCAGTGGGACCCTTTGTGTTTGTGCTGGAGTGCAGAGATCTAATTGCACCTTTCCCTGCTGTAATTAGGGTGAGGTGATAAGGCACTGCCTTATTAAAATACTCCACCCAGTCGAGATAAACTAATTAGGTAACTTGCAGCACACTTGTGAAGCTGCCCCTTGGGAATAAGTGCTTCAGGAGTTTGTGTTTCCTTCCAGAGTTCTCTCCATAAGTGCAGCCAGGGAGCTGGGTGTAACAGCCTTGGGCACAGGCCACTTTGGGAATGTCAGTGGCTCCTGTCCCTGCTGTTCACAGGGAAGGGGCAGCTCCTGAGTGGCCTCATCCCAGTGCTCCCTGTGTTTGAGACCTCTCCGTGGCTCCTGGAGGAGTCAGGCTGGTAAAAAGCCCTCAGGACTGTTGGGATTTCCTTCCTCACTGGATTTTCTCTGCCCCACAGGCCCTGCTGGAGTGGAAGAGTTACCTGGATTGTCGGTGACTCCGCCTGCCCTGGAGGATAAAGGTCTCTGGGCTGCTGCTCCTCCCTGCAGACTTTCTCCTGGCAACCTCTGGGATAAGCTCTGGGAATCACCTTGTCTTCGCTCTGTCCTTGCCTCCTCCCCTCTTGGATCCTTGGAGTGATTAGTTTCTTCTTCCCTGTTCTCCCTTCATAGACGGACCTACTAACAGCCCCTTTCCTGAAATGTCCCTGCTCTTTATTTTGGGACACCTTTTAAACAAACATTCCTTCCTCCTTTACCAAAGCAGACCATGGCTGCCAAAGGTAATTGCACTCCATGGTTTGGAACCTTTAAGGAATTGCTCCCAAAAATCCTGGGTGTGTGATAGTCCTCACGGTAGTAAATATCTGCCTTCTCTTTCTACCTGGGCTTTAGGTCTCTTGATAACGAATTTTTGACTCCTGGATTAGGGACAGAAATAAAAAGAAATGTTGCCTCTTGGAATTTTCACTTTTAAAGCCAGACCCTGCTGGGCAGCAGAGGGGCCTCCACGGCATCCTTCTGTCTCAGTGTGGAAAAGAAGCTGCCACTGCTGAATCCGAGCCTCCCAAGCTGGGATTGCCAGCAGAAGTTCTTCTCAAGCCACATTCCTAAATAAAACTTGGATACCATAGTGGGATGCACCAATAACATGGAGCCTCAAAACAAACGTCTGAAACTTACTTCTCACTCACATTTTATTCTGAAATGATTAATATTATTTGGGCATAGGAGGCCTGGCTTGTTCTATCTCCTTGCTCTCATATCAAACTTTGTATGTTATTAGTGTGTTTTCAGCTGACAGTGGTATTAGAATGTGTCACTGCAGGGCAGGTTGCCCACAGAAGCTGTGGCTGCTCCATGCCTGGAAGTGTCCAATTCCAGGTTGGATGGGGCTTGGAGCAAGCTGGGCTGGTGGAAGGTCCCCCTGCCCATGGCAGGGGGTGGCACTGGAGGGGCTTTGAGGTCCCTCCCAACCCAAACCATTCCGTGATAATTTGCATCATACACCTTATTCTCTCATGCTGTTCATGTTCACTGGTCATTTTTATTTACAGCAACAACGCAGAGCCTCGTTTTCAGATAAAAAGAGACTGTTCACAAACTGGTTGGTGAATAGTTTTAACTGCAGAAAAGTAGCTGGGATGGGACAGAATTTATTTTGTTTCGAGGCAGCAGGATGTGCAGCTTCTGCTCTGCAAAGCTTTTGCTTCTCGCTCCTCCACCCATTGTAGGCAGGTTTCTGTCCCCTGCTCCCAGCTGGAGTGGCTGCAGTTCCCTGGCCATTGGCTGCTGGAGTGGGAGCAGTGGGGCGGGAATGTTGGGCCAGGGCAGCACATTTTAACCAGGGGCTGCTGCTCCCTGTTCCCTTTGAGCTCCCGGGTCCTGCTCTGCTCAGCCTGCACGGAGCACACAGTAAGTCTGGGCTGGCCCTGCCTTCCAGTCACTCACTTTGAAAGTTTTAAATTTCAATTTTTTTTTTTGTTTAATTTAAAAGTTTAAGGGTTAAAAGTTCTAATTTTTTTTCCCACGTAATTATGTTGTGTATAATTCAACTTATTATTGATAAAAATTTGCCATAAATATTACTATGTAATGGCAGCTGTCTCTGGACTCCACTGGGAACATGTTTAGTTTAACTTCAGTGGAGGAGACAGCTTATAAATGTTCTTTAATATTCCCATTACTGTCTTTAATTCATCCCTTTGCTGTATCCCTTATTCTTTTATATTCAATTTTTTCTTGATTTGTAATATAAAAGAGGTTAAGGATAATATCCCAAATATCTACACCATAACTGATCATTTTTAGCCCAGGGTGTTTTTTTTTAATTGCCAGTCATCCTGGAGTTCTGTAGCTAAAACATTTCTCAATGCTGCAATGTGTATATTTTGTCCAACTCTTGATTAGAAACCTGTTGGTCTCCCCCAGCATGAAACTACTGTTGAATTTTATCTCTGGTATGATAGTGATATGTGATACATGATATGGTAGTGATATGATATTATAGTGATATTATATGATAGTGAAGGACTCAGTGTTAATGTTCTGTATTTTATCCTTCTCTTCATGTTTATTTTGGCTTTATTCTGCCTGGGTATTTTCCCTAATCCAGATATTTTGCCTTGTCAGAGCAGCTTTATCCAAGTCAAGCTGTAGCAGCTGATGTGACGTCCCTGTCTTATCTGAAAATCTGCTTTTGATCATTTCTGCTTTTCCCTTAGAAATGTGTTGGGGTTTGTTGGGGTTTTTTTTGCCTTTTCTGAGGTGCATTTTGTGTGTCCTGCTCTCCTGTGTCTGAGCTCACCTTGGAGCCCTGGCCAGGAGGGCAGGTCGGTGCCCTGTGTGAGGGGAGGGTCTGGGGGTGTGTGACACGCTGGGATTACATCAGGGGCACGGCGTGTTCCTACTGTCCAAACCTCTGCTCTGGGCTCTGTTCCTCCTCCTGGGAATGGCTCCTACAGCCTCTGCTCTGGAGCCAGGCTGGGAGAGCTGGGGGGGTTCACCTGGAGAAGAGAAGGCTCCAGGGAGAGCTGAGAGCCCCTTGCAGGGCCTAAAGGGGCTCCAGGAGAGCTGGAGAGGGACTGGGGACAAGGGATGGAGGGACAGGACAAGAGGGAATGGCATCAAACTGACAGAAAGTAGGATTAGATGGGATATTGGGAAGGAATTCCTGGCTGGGAGGGGGGGGAGGCCCTGGCCCAGGTTGCCCAGAGAAGCTGTGGCTGCCCCTGGATCCCTGGAAGTGTCCAAGGCCAGGTTGGACGGGGCTTGGAGCAACCTGGGCTGGTGGAAGGTGTCCCTGCCCATGTCAGGGGTGGCACTGGGTGGACTTTAAGGTCTCTCCCAACCCAAACCAGTCTGGTATTCTCTAAGCTGCAAATCCCAGTCTGGTCATTCACCAAGGTTCTTCCTTTATCCCAGCCTTCTGTATAACCAGGAGCAGTTTCCACTGTCACTAAAGCCCAGGATGGGTTTCCTCAGGGGTTCCTGCTGTGCTCTGGGTGGTTCAGTCTCTGATATTCCGTGTGTGTCTCATCTGCTGAAGTTCTGCAGCACTTCCTGGGCTGGGAAGCTCTCCCTTTGCTCCCCTCCCCAGCTAACTCTGGCTCTTTTCCCTGTGTCCTGCTCTCCTGCAGATCCATGGCTGAGCAGGTGCTGGTCATCGGCGGTGGGGGCAGAGAACACGCCCTGGCCTGGAAGTTGGCCCAGTCCCCACATGTAAAACATGTGTTTGTGGCTCCAGGGAATGCAGGAACAGCTGACAATGGAAAAATTTCCAATGCAGGTAAAACCAAGGAAAATATACCATTTTTAAATTCCATAACTCAACCAGTAAATTCTTGTAGTCCCCGAGCTGAAGTCACTGCTGGGAATGTGAAAATGTTGTTATTATTATTATTATTACTACTGTTACTATTTTTGAAGGGTTTGGGCCTGTGAAGTAGATTTTAGATGCAGTTACAAAGACAAAAAATGTCTGAGCCAAGCCTTGTGTAACTTGTATAATTCATTTTATAAGATCTCAGCTGTGATATCAAATTCTTTAGGTTTGGGGTTGGAGGATTCAGCCAAAGCTGCTCCTCTGGGAATCCAGCCCAGGATAGTTGCTTGGTTCCCACTAAATTCACTCCTGTGTTGTCAGCAGTGTGTTGAAGCCCCGTGATCCCCACAGCCTGTGACAAGAATACTCTGTCACCGTGAAAACAAATTAATTCCTGTGTCTTAGGGACCTTAAGAAATTCAGGTTATTTTCAGGTATTTCTGTCTGTGTACTGACTGCCTGTTTTGAGCCCTTGGCTGAACACATTAAGCTCTGAGTAGCTGTAATTGAAATCTTTCATAGTTATTAGGTTGGAGAAATCAAGCCTAAGATGTTTCAAATTGAGCATCCGAAATTAGGGGCTGCATTCCAAAAAAAACCTTGGAGGAATTACTCAGATTCCTGTGTCCTTTACATAACAAATCCCGAATCAGAGGCTTTAAACAACCTGAGACTTCAGTTTCCACTTCAGAACATGTGGTGAGGTATGGAATTCAGGTTAAAGCAGGGTGCATGAGCATGGATCACACACATCCACTGCTGCATTCCTGGGTTTATGGGAGCAGCTTTTTGGGCAGTTATCTCCTGTGGAAAATGAGTCCTGTCAGGTTCTTGTCCAGCAGGTGATCGTGGTATGGAATTCCACTGGAATGCTTCATTATAGGCTTTGTAAAGAACTTTGTCCTTAATTTCTCTGTCTAATTCCAGTATCACAAGTAGTTCTTTGCTCTGTTTGACCTTTGAGGGGAGGGCCCAAAGGAAGAGCCTGACAGGACCATAAAGTCAAACAAAAACCCTTCCCCTGGTGCTAAATGGAGCCAGTGCCAGTCTGCCTGGCCTGGGGAATGGCAATTCCAGCATTTTTTTGCAAGCCGTGTCATTTTAAAAGCTCTGGGCTCTTCTCTCACCTTGTTATTCCATAAAAAACATTGCACCAGCAGTGGAAGATGGTGGAGCTCGAGCCAGGCCCATGAAATCCCCCATGGGTAATAAAATCCTTTAATCCTGGACTGTGGGACCACCTGTACTTTGGGAGAGAAATTCAGCCAGCCAGGAAGAATCTGGAATTTGAGGATTTTAAGGAACCATTTGTCTCACCTGCTCAGGAATTCCAGTGCTGTCACTGGATTTTAGCTCAGGGGGGAAAATGGATAACAGTTTCCCAGAAGCACATGAGCCCTCTTAGCTGGTGTGGGCAGCAGTGGCTGGAAATCTTCTGCCGTGGGGGCCAGGCATTTTTTGGGATAATCAGCACTTTGCTCTGAAAGTTCTTCCTCCCTTTGTAGTTCCTGAAATTGCCTTTAATTAGCATTGCAGCTCTGGGTCTTGGGTGATTAATGAAACATAAAAAAGTGAGCTTAAAATTATAAATAAGCTTAAATCTTTAAAACCTAGCCAGTACCCAAGTCAAAAATAAAAGTTGTTATGGTTAATCTGAGCCTGAAATCATTTCTGACAATAAAGGGATTTAGGTTGACTAAATATAGGTTTGTATTTGATTTTAGATTGAATTATCAGGGCAGTTTTGGTGCCAGAAGCATCTGGAATGGCTTGGTGAATGCAGAGATAGAAATATGTGTGTCTGTGAATGGACTTCACCACCCTGACACCTCCTTCTGTCCCATTTTACCTCCCAGTGGCACCTGTGGTCTTATCTCTAAGTTGGAGCTTTGAAAACCTTGGTCCAGGGTCCTTCTGTCTGGTTGCAGAGAAGGTTCAGCTGTTGTTTTAATGCCCCCTTTCACTCAACACCCTGAGGAAAAACCCCATGATTTGTCCCTTCCTGGGTGTTGGAAGGACATTCCCACATCGTGGAAATCTTGGGCCACGTTCACTGTTCGTGTCAGGAGTAGATCAGACCTGCAGCAAGATAGTTGGGGGTGAATTCCAGGCTCTTCCTTTCCCTGCTTGGAGAGGGACCTTGGACAAGGGATGGAGGGAATGGCTTCCC